GTATGGGGTGGAGGGAAAGAGAAATCTATGGAGTTTGTGTGCATAAATGAGGTCGTCTGCTGAACTCTGACCCATTTATATGACATCTGGTCACAGTCGGGCTCCTGATTTCATCCTCCCTCTCCCAGCAGCAATAGACCGATAAAAAGCAGTAGATTATAATCGACACGTGAGAAGGTGAAGAGGAAAGGGAAACTGTCAGTTTTCAATCAAGCTGTGTGAGGCAGCAGGAACTGCCGACAAATTGTATTACCTCACCAGTTACTTCCTGGGACTCGCAACAAGTTTGAAGGAAAAAGGCAGCACTTCTAAACGGATTATGAGCGATGTGCCAAGAGTCTACCGTCAGGTTTCCAGCAAAATATGTCACCTCACGCAATTCCAGCTTTAAGTGAAGGTAAAAGGTCAGCTACGGGAACTAGTTCTGTGGGTCTGAAAGGCCTGCAGTACTTGTTCAGTGCTCACCTCACCGATGTCAATTATTTTAGTCACGCGAATACCCCTGCTTTTCTAAGCACAAATCAAACTCACTGGTAGAAGGGCAGAACGAGCTGGCTTGATCCTTTACGTTCGTTTGCGCACGAAAGTAACGAGTGGTCTGGTTTTTGCGTTGAGTCGCTAGAATACTTCTTCGTCGAACATCGCCTCAAGTCAACTTACCGTGCTTAGCTTAGGGGCAGGGTATGTGGGTTAGTTGCTGCGCCGTGGAACTTGACTTATATATCAGCATTTTTTAAGGTTTGCTGACCCCATACGTCAGAGACGGACAATGCGGACTTCGAAGTTCCATAAACAAACTCAGCGAACTGCCATCTTAAAAATAAAAAGGAAAAGCCACTTTCTGCCTTGCTCGAATTTGGCTTACCATTTACTTGCATTTGGGCGAACTTATCCAGCAATGCTATGGCATAGGCCTTAACCAAAACGCGCTAAAATCCGATTTTCCTGATGGTATATATGCCATGAAATTGAAGAATGCCAACTCGTGCATTTCTTGATAAACGGCTATGAGTTTGCAATTATAACAGAGACTCTCGTCAAACCAAATCGCAAAAAGTCTATACATCGGCAGCAGAAAATTTTCGAAAAAGATGAAGGGAATGGAATGTCAAGTTCTGGCTTGAGAAGAAATGGCACGATTAGGGTCCCCAAATCGTTTGGTTAGGGCTTATCTACATTTTGCATATTGCTTATCGAAAAGAGGCAAGGCAAGTGCACGTGAAACAATGGGATAACGAATTAGATTTCTAGCTAACAGATTGTGAGTTCGAGACTAGGGCGGTTTACCAGCTGAGGTTTTGTATGGCTGGTTGGTGACTCCTTTTAAGCCAGAAGGGGCCATTGCAGTCTCCCTGGTCTTTGTAGGTAACTTTTTACATCACTTGCCGCTGTCCGGCTGTCGGCGGGACCAAACCAGAATGGAACGAGTGAGTCTCGTTACAAATTGCTGATCGCCCACCGACAATTTTTTTACATTCCCACTAAAAATCAGCATGGCAAAAAGCCAGTAGCGCAACGCTTCTAACAATATATATTTATACATACTGTGTTCATCTTCCCTGGAAGAGGAAGAAAAAGAGAGGAAAAATTGTGTTTATGGCCCTTGTCCCTTTTTCTTCTTCCTCTTCCGGGGATGATGATCACGCTATAATATCTGGACCCCGAATATTTTTCGCATATAATTATAGATACAATGAGCAGGAATTTGATTGATCGGGTACGAGACCTGCTAGATACGTTGCGTCTTCCCGATAACAAGAAGCCGTGGCTCCTTGGCAGAACGTTAAGCGTGGTAGTTGGTGTTACAAAAATATTCTGGGTCAAAAGTTGGATGTGGTTAGGGCTGCTAAAAACGACTAATGGCTACCTCTTTCGGCCTTTTCCAAATAAGTAGTAGGTTAAAATCCTTGACGGGCTGCAAAGATATTTTCGCTTCGGCCTATTCATTTCAGAGTTTTCATAAATCACAGAATGTGCAAGGGGCCTCGTATTTGCATCCTGTGACAGTACCACATCGGCAAACACGTATTTGAGCTTAGGACTATTATTTTTGTTTGGAATACGCATGAACAACCATTTTATTTTCTTAAAGTATTAGTGATATTACTTTGAGTGAAATAGAAATTACGCAGTTTTTCCACGGAGGCCGTCTGATGTTAACTCAAATGTTAATTAAAAACTCAATGTTAGTTCCTAAAATATATCGCGCTTAGCATTCACAATTAATTCCGCGTGTGCGGGTGACCTTCGCTGATTCACTTATTCATGATCTATTTAAAAATATTCATGCTATATAGAAGTGCGCAGATATCTCGATTGGTTTTCGCCGTGGTAAAAGCATCGCATGCATATGTGTTTACGCATAGCTCGAAGCGATGCAGTTTACAGGGTATTTTGGAAAATGACTAGAAAATAGCACAATAGGTTCCCTGTGATGATCAGCTATAACAGTT